TTGAAATAAAACAGAAGTATGGCTTTTTTTGGTAACTCCTAATTAAATTGCAGAAATAACTGTTCCATCGTATAGGGGATTAGACAAATCAATACAGAAAAGATTCAGCAGGACAATGGACTAGCAAGTGGTTTAGGGAGGTTAATAGGTACATGACTGCTGAAAGCTGGAACAACCTGCCAGCAGTGGTTCTGTCCTATCTCTACCATCTTCTCCTGAGTATCATCTATAGGGCAGTGTCAAAGAGAGGATGCTGGACTAGATGTTATCCTGGTGTAAGAATGACTATTAGTAAATCCAGGAATGTGATTTTTTTTTTTTATGAGGCTTTCAGCCTCATTTTCAAAATATAATGATTTTAAAATTACAGAATCAGGCTTTTAGATTCTCTGAGTTTCCAGTTGCTAATAATTTCTCTTATGAATACCAGATATGCTCTGTGGTGTATTGTGGCTACCATTTGAGGACAGTCTGCAGTATTGCTATCAGTAGTTCATCTATTTATCACTATGTTCTGCACTGGTCCAAAAGGCATCTTAGAGAAATCTTCCAAAATATTCAAAGATTACCTTAGAGAAAAACTAGCAGGATCAGCTCCCTGAATCGTATGTCAAGGTCCTGTTTTTATAAGTCTCCAGAGAATCTTAATGCTGTGATAAGTGAATTGTACTGTGGCTCGCCAGTGTTTTGGAGATTTTTAAGATGAGACTCAGATTTCCAAGGGGCTTAAGTGCTTATGAAAAAGCTGACGTCAGAAGGAAGGAAGGGAAGCTCATGGGAGGAAGTGGATGGTGGACAAACTGTTCTTGATATTGACTCTGTGTGGTGTTTCCACTTTTATATCTTCCTGCTTGTGGCTTTGGTTTCAGATACCCTTAGCAGACCTTTCTGTCTCAGTGGTATCCAAACAGGACTCAATCAGAATATCTTCTTCAGGCCAAATACTGCAGGAAGCTCTGAGCCAGATCAGAGTGAAATTCCAGTGGAGCTAGTTTGGAAAGTTCATCAGATAAATGAAATGATAAACTAAAAGCATTTGTTTATTTAATAAATAAAACATCCATCTTTACCAACTGTAATGTTTCATACCCTTTGATACTGTTCCACAATACTGCTCTCTAGAGGATCTCATCTTACCAAGATGCAGAATACAAGTTTAATTATATGAAGGCAGTGGGCCAAAAAGCTAGAGGTCTTACGCAAATTCAGATATGCATTAATTTGCCTAATGTTTCTGATATATAGATATATCTATATATGTATGTATATATGCATCCTTTATCTCTCCTTCTCTTTTGAAAGATACTTCTCCTTTCCCAGCCTCTCCCTGAGCTGGCGCTTCCCTTATTCCTTATTGTCCCTGATGATGACTGGCCAATTTGAAGTCCAGGGCCTCATCTCCCTGGAAACATAGGTTTGTCACTCTGTACTAAATTCTGTATAAGTAATTTAGCTCTTGTGTTGATTATCACCTTAGCTATTTATTTGCACTGGTAAGGAGTAGTTAAGAGCTGTGGAAACTGAGTTATTTCTAAATGCTTCCAGCAGGGATTGTCTTTGGTAAACATAAACACAGAACAGTACTTTGGTGAATGTTACACAGAATGGCTTAAGGACATATATTCGCTTTCTCCTGGTTTGTACTCCTCTTTTGAGGATGAGGGTTAGAGCAGCCATGTGGGATAACCATCTGAGCTCAGCTCAGGTGAGAACCTTTTTCCATCCTTTTGTGAGTTTGGATTGTGTAGGTTTGCTGCAACCTTGCTCCAGCTTCCACCTTGGGATCATCAGGAGAATTTTGAGGCTCAGTTCTCCCATAAGCAGTGAATAATGTACTCTAGGAATCAGCACACTGTTTCAGGTGGTGAGGCTAACCTGGATGAAAGAACTTTTGGCAGATAAGGAGCCTAGGAAATGGATGTGAGTTTCCATATAGCAGTTTAAAGGAAGGGAGACTGCATGTGCTGTCTTGTGGCTGCTGTCCTCAGGGAGGCAACCCTGATCCTGGATAAGATGACCAGTGGTAGGTGATTTTGTGCAACAGATTGCCAAAGACACTTCTGGTTGCTCTAGAAAAAGAAAAAATTGCTTTTTATAAAGAGTAGAGTAATAAATAAAGTAAGTTTTGCATTTGTGCTCAATAAATTTGAAAGTTTTTAAAATGGGTTTAGCTGGGGCTTACAGTAGATGTTTGACTGAAGGGGTTTTACATCCTAAGTGACTATATCTAGAGTTATGTCCTGGAGCACAGGTCTCCAGCAGGTGCCACATGGAGTAGTAACAATTAAAGCTCTTGAGGATCCACCCTCAGTTTTTCAAAACAGTTAACAGCTGACGTGTAGAGCCTCCAAAACTGGAGCCAGAATTGCTTTACTGAAAACCTGGCTACTTATTTGGGTGTTTATGTGGAACTTAATCTCTAGAAAAACTGGTCCAAAATGCAGTCTCACATATGTGGCATTACTGATGTTTACATTTTCAGCTGTGTATCTTGAGCTTCATTGAACAAGAGTTGCACAAACAATGAAAGAAAAAAAAAGCCCCTTTGGCAGCTATTTAGTTTGTGAGCTTTGAGAAAATTCAGATAGGAATTATTCTGCTAGATCTGCCAAAGCTCAAGCTCATTGGAATCATTGGAGTTCTCTCTCCTAACTGCAGAGTTTTTCACCCATCCTCTAAACTGGGTTCGTAATAGGGTGATTATAAAATAACTTTATTGGAAAGAAAGTTTGCCAAGTAAATAATTCAGTAAATATTTTCTGGGCACCCATGCCTGATAGATTGCTTGGTGTGCTGGCTAATAAGCAATATTGCCTTTTAAGACTGCCATAACACAGAGTGCTCCGAAAAGCCTGACCCAGGATTGAGGCCTGAGAAGAGAAAATGTTAAGCCTTCAGCACCCGGCCAAATTTTATTGGAAGGCATGCAATATGGAGATAGGGCTGTAGTAGTTGTAGATCTCAGCTGCTCCCTTTCTTAACTCCCTCTGTTCATAAATACATGTTAAAATAATTTTGAGTCAAGTAATTGAAAACAATTGGAAGAAATTCCTCATAGTAAAACTTTTAAAAGTGTTTAAATTGTAGTAACTTTTATTTCAGCATATGGATCTGGGGCTTGGTGGTAAATTGAGCTCGCTCTTTATGGAAGTGGTAAATCACCAGCAGTTGCTATCAAGAGTAGAAAAATAATGTTTATAAATCATTGCATTTGTTTCAGATTATTCATCAGAGCTGGAAGGCAATGGTTGGAGTTACTTTGTGATACTATAAACAGAGAAGGCTGTGTACTTTGTGGTGAAATTTTGGGGTTTGTACATGTACTAACTGAGACTTTTTGCTTCAATTCAAATAATTTTCCAGAGAGGAGTATCTATATTCCACTGTGCTGTTTTGAAGGAGCAACATGGCACTAATAGGACAGCGAGGCCTGCTGACTCTCAGAGGAAGGGTCTCACAAAGTCATCTTATATGGCTTTCCTTCTTATACTGCAGTAGGAAAGTCTTCTCTTTTTCCAGTGTGCTTCCAAACTGCTCTGATGGGTTATGAAAAGGTTCAAATCCGGAAAGAGTAAGAACTGAGCACAGGGAGGTTTTTGATACAGAAATTTGGAGGCAATAATCCTTAGTTTCCCTGTAAATAAAAAAGCAGGATTGTCTACACACTTGCCTTGTAGTTCAAGACAGGAGAAGGCTGCCTGGTTTCCCTGGGTAATTCTATAATTACCCTCAAGCTTTATTTCTCTATGAGAAAGAGCTACAATTTCTGTCATATGAAGCGCAGGCAGCACATCAGCACAAATAGCAACAGCAGTCTTCGCTGAGCAAGCTGCCGGAACTAGCCAGCTCCTTCATTGGTTACTGGCTGAGTTTCTGCAGTATTTCAGAGATTCCTGGCCTTGCCTGCAAGAGTATTGGCAAAAGCAGCTTGGTTTTACCTTAGCGTATTGTGGAAAGTCCTGGGGGAATTAAGTTTTGCAGGAGCTGTGCCAGCTCTTCTGAGGTTTTGAGTGTTGTGGATCATTTAGCTTTGTTGTGTTTTCCCACCCTCCAAAAAGAAAATGAAAGCAAAACACTTACCAACTCCTTTACTGACTTGTTGGCACATACTGTGAAATAACTAACTGGTTGCAGTCTCCGTAAAAAAGGAAAGCATGGAATTTTCAGGTGGCAGATTGCTTTTATCCAAAGAAAAAATAGAAAATTGGTATGATATACCTTTTATTGCAAAACAGGAGAGTTACAAGGTTGAATATGGGTCAGATATCTTTCACTGGCAGTGGCTTCCCCATACTGGAGTATATGTCTCTGTTAAACACAACAGCATAAAAAGTTTTTTTTATACTTTATGCCAAAGAGGGGCGATGGGGGGTAGGAAGGGACCCTCAAAACAGCCAGTAGCTAATGCTGCCTTTGTGGTTTTATATATTTGCCTATTAAAATGACAATATGGACATGGAACATTTAGATTTAAGAAGCCTTCTTTTCATTAAACAACATTAAACAAACTGACAAAGTAGGGGGTTATGACTCCAGTAATTGAAACATGCTGTTCTGTTCAAGACCAGAACTCTATAAAGACTCTTTTCACCCAGTAATGCCCTTTGTGTTTGCCTGCTACCCCTGCTAGAAATTACTGTAGGCCTGAAGTATGTCTTTCCAAGTGGAGTGGGAATGACAGAGTGCAACACCACACTTGGCAGGTGGGGTCACAGCCTTTTTAGGACATTAACATTCATTGTGCATTGGAAATCAATTTGCAGCTCAGAATGCATGGAGTCTTAGATGGACTTCCCTCCCCACTGTTTTTTTATGTTAACTTTAAACCTAGGATGCAAGAAAAAGAATTAGATGGATTAATTTGGATTAACTCTGATGGAGTTTGAGTAGTTTTCATTCGCTTAATTTACAGTGTGCCTTTTCATGGATTCCTTGCTCTTCTAGATGTATATTCCAAGTCTGTACATTATCTTGCATTTCTTTTTCCTTCTCTCTTCTAGATGTTGATGAATGTCAGGATAACAATGGAGGATGCCAGCAGATTTGTGTAAATACTATGGGCAGCTATGAATGTCAGTGCAAAGAGGGCTTTTTTCTGAGTGATAACCAGCATACCTGCATTCATCGCTCCATTGGTAAGTTTTCAGTGTGTAAATCGTGATTTTTAGAATAGCTGTGTTCAGTCAGAAATGCGGAAACTGCCTGGGTTTTTTTTTTATCCCCAGAGTTCCCAAGATTGTTTCACTGGTTGGCTGGAATTGATTGATTCTTCTGCTACCCAAACCTACAGTAGAGCTGTAAGAAAGGGGGGAAAAGACTAGTTTGACATAGAAACTGTACTTGGTTCAAACAGCAGGTTCTTTGGGCAGGCAGAGGCAGATTTTCAAATGATAACTTTCTGCTTCTGAGTTTCCAAGACTTAAAATTTTCTCATCTGTTCATTGTATAATAGCTCTGCTGTCTTCTACCTTAGAGAGCATGGTATCTTTAATCAACACAGCTTGTTTTTTCTGGAAGTTATACAGGTTATGGTTTTCTGCCAGTCATATAACTTACTGCTTTGTTGCAGACTGATGATGGCTGATATTATATTGACACAATATTTTTCTTTGGTTCAGTACCCTGTCTAGGGTGGATTAGAAAACTGCTTCTCTGTTGCCTATACAAGTAGCAGTAGAAATAAGGAATCCCTGCAAACCTCTGATCCTTGTCTGCTGCTGATTTTGACCAGAAAAAACAGCTTTCCCTTTTCTATACATGTCAGACATGGAAGATAAGTTTGAGTGGAAAGGGAGAAAAGAAAACAGCATAGCTATAAATCTTTGCAATTAAGTGGACTCTTTTCTGTATTCATTCAGACTTCTGGTGACCCTGGCAGCAATGGGAATATATGCTAGCAAACTCATTTACCAACAGGCAATACAGAATGACAAAGTAGCAAGATGAGTCTGGTGATCAACAATGTAAGCACGCCGTAAATTTCAGCAAGCCACACAAATGGTTCTGAACTATTTTAAGTCCCAAGAATTAACCAGAAAAATCCTACTTGAGCACAAGAGCATGAATTTAGTCACTCTGTTGACAAGAAAGCAAAGCGTCGTAGTGTAACATCTCAGAAATGTAAATATATTTCTGGCACTGTGTGTCTGCTTACACAGAATCAGAATTCTGTGTAAGCAGAATGTAGTGATTTTAATTTTCAGAAGTGTGAATCTCCAAAATACATTCCACTCTTCAACATGATTATTAAGTTTTAAGCAATTGAGGTATTTTGATTCAGACAGGAATATACAATTAAGCTCTATCAACCAGTGTGGTTTAAAGGTTATTATATAATAGGTTTTTAGTCATTCTTTTCAACATAAATTGTTCAAATTTCTGTCCAGCATAAAGTAACCCTGACACAAAGTTATCCAACAGAGCAAGGAATAGTAGCTGGAGGCTTAATGAAAACCACTTGCAGAGTACTGCGATACAATCATTATTTCAATTTGCACATTGTAAAAATTCCCAGGTCTAATAAAAGAGAATTTAGTTATCTGAGATGGAAACTAATAAACTAAATGAAAAATGAGACTGTAAAGGCAAAAGCTTCTTCTAAGGAATAGGTTACTTGTGGGAGAGGGTAATTTTTTATTGGAAAGAGGATTCCTAGTTTGCCAGAAAGACTGGGGGAGTAGATCTGAAGGTTGACTGCTATATGCACATAATAAATATGCATGGGAATCATATATTTGTGTTAACTTGTTTACAAAGAAAATGCCATATAAACACGGATACTTAATTTGAACCAGCATCAAATTATTTTAGATCTGAAAAACCCCAAGCAACCTGCCAAGTAGAACAATGATGATTGCAAAGTGTTTTATGAACAAACGGTTTGTAGCTTTTCAAAAATAAAGTGCCAGTTTACAGTAATAGCAAACATTACACTGTAGTGCCATGATCCCCCACAGAAATACATTGGGTGAGTATGCTGGAGGAAGGAAATAAGGTTAAATGATCCCTTTCAGTTGTCAGAGGTGACTGAACTGCAAATAGGAAATATGCATGGTGAGAAAGTAAATGGCTTTCTTACTATCTGTGTTTACTCACTTTCATCTGTCTCGCATCTAAGTGCCTCTACAGAAACTGTTGGAACACAAAAATACGCAAAAGTATTTAGGCAGAACTGTGCCTAGGGCTAGACTGTATCTATACCTCTGTTGGTAAACAAGGCTGCAGTAGGCAAAAGCACACCACACAGCCAGCACTGCAATCCAAACACAGAGATGCTGACTCACCAAAGACCTTTAGCAAGCTTGTTGACTTTGAGCATAATAAGATCCATTAATTGCCGTGGGATTACTTTTCTGTCTGAAAAATACATGTGCAGTGCCATAATCTCGGTGTCCTTGACATTACCTAAAGACTCTTCAAGGACTCAGCTAGTCTAAAACAATCACAAGGTTTGTACTTTCCTGCCACCTTTTCCCCTCTGTTTTCAAATGCCTTGGGAAAAGTGAAGAAGCACTGCAAGGTGCAAGTAGGATGTACTCAGAGTTGGGATGAGTTTGGGATGAAGGGAGCAGTACCAAGCCTCAGCAATGCCCTGTCTGCAGGCCCAGCTCACCTGCCTCAGCCACCAGTAAGGCTGGTGCTGATCACATGCTTCAAGCTTATCAACACTTTCAAATGGTGTGGTAGTTTCAGAGATCGAAAAGAGCATTCCATATTCTCGTGGGGGGTTGAGCAGAGGAAGGGATATCTCCCTTTTTGCACTATCCAGCTACGCAAGGGTGTTTTCTCATATGAGGTACCCTCCTGAAAATTGTTGGCTGCTTTGTGAATTTCCTCAGCTTCGAGAGATGCATTGTGCCTGTGCCAGTGTTTCAGGGGTGTATTGTACCATCATGCTCCTACCCACAAGCTGTGGTAAAAAGCCACACCAGAGTTCATGGTAGGGGCTTTTAATGTCATCTTTGTGTCCCAAATGATACTTGCTTGCCATCTGGAATTGTTCTTCTTGTTTCCTGTGGACAAGAAAAAATAATGATCCACAAAGAAATGCCAATTTTATACCCATGGAAGGCCAGGCTGACACTAAAGTGAGGGCAAACCCTGGTTTCCCAGTATTTGCTTTATTTCACTGTCTTCATTATAGGCCTGTTGGTTTCTTATGTTTAGTCTCAGTATCTTTTTGGGAAGATACTATGCCAAGTACAACTTACCTCATTTATTTTTTTTTTTTTGCATAAAACTTAATTTCCCTTCACTGAGTCAGATTTTGAACTGGTTTACTCATAGTAATGATGGCACCAACAGGGAGAAAGAATGGAAGGGAGGATGGATTGTAAAAAATAGGGAGAACGTAACAGTTGTTTATCTTAATACACCTTAATTGCAGTAGTAGGTGTGAACATGGTGAATTATACCAGACACGTTTGTATTTGTTTCCTCATGACTTAAAAAGAAACCAGAATAAAGCAGCTGTTACTGTATCATCTCCAGCTCCAGAGGGAGCATGTGTTTAATAAATGTGGAGATTAGTGTGGTACATTACAGCTGTGACTGAGTCAGGTGACTAGATTACATCATTTTTTCCCTTAATTTGATGATAAGCCTAAAGCCCCAATTCAGCAAAGCGTCTGGGCACATCCTTAAAGTCCTAGTGATAGCAAAGTTGGTAAAAAATGTGAGTTGGGCATAAAAAGCTCAAAATAGACAGAATTCAGCTGTATACCTGCATCTCCGCTGAAGTTCAGAGTGATCAGAATGAAAGCTATGGTATGCCCCATTTGCATTACAAATATAAAAGTTACTGTGATCAGGAGTCTTGGCTACAGACCGCTTCACCAAAATTCTCAGCTGAAGCGTTATGGAAAGCTCTTACTGACCCACCTCCAGAGGGTTAAGTCTGTTAAAACACAAAGGTTGTTTGCTTACAAGCAAGATACTTCAGTTCTGTGCCTAGGAAGACTTCGTCACTTTAAATTCCATCCCCTGAATGTCTACCTAGTTATATTAATGGTTTTATATCTGCTAATCATTCAGTGTCAATGTTTTTATTGAGTTAATGCCAAGTAAACTAAAAGGCGGGTGCAATTATGAGTGCTAATTGTAAGTGGAACAAGAGAAGTACCAGGCTATAGAAGACTGGCAATGACAATGGTGTTGTCAAATGATGGAAAAGCTTTTTACACAGTTGTCACTATCATTTTCAAGCCTGTTAAAAAAAATATTTGGCAAGGCTTTTTCACTTCCCCCTATCCCATTAGCCTTATGTTCCTAGCAGAATTAAGAAGTTTGACATAAAGTCAAGCTACCACAACTTAGCAAATTACTGTGTTACAGACAGTCTCAAAACCAGCTTGTTTCTTTCTGCTCTAGGAGCGTAACAGTTTACTCCCAGGGGGAAAGTGAAATGCTTAGCCAAGTTGTCTTGCATTTGTCATGGGTAAGTGGTATTACAAAATGGCTTACCATGCTTGTGCTGATGCATAGTAACTTGTTAAACTTTATTATATTTTAAAGTCCTTGTTAATTCTGCAGTAGTAGCATTGGATGCCTTTGGTAAACGGACAACAAACTATCAAATTTCTTCTTGTTCTGAGGATTATAATGCCACCTTTGTTCATAGAATCATAGAACAGTTAGGGTTGGAAAGGACCTTAAGATCATCAAGTTCCAACCCCCCTGCCATGGGCAGGGACACCTCGCTCAAACCATATCACCCAAGGCCTCATCCAGCATGGCCTTGAACACTGCCAGGGATGGAGCATTCACAATCTCCTTGGGCAACCTATTCCAGTGCCTCACCGCCCTAACAGGAAAGAATTTCCTCCTTATAACCAATCTAAACTTGCCCTGTTTAAGTTTTAATCCATTACCCCTTGTCCTATCACTACAGTCCCTAATGAAGAAGCCCTCCCCAGCATCCCTATAGGCCCCTTTCAGATACTGGAAGGCTGCTATGAGGTCTCCATGCAGCCTTCTCTTCTCCAGGCTGAACACCCCAACTTTCTCAGCCTGTCTTCATATGGGAGGTGCTCCAGTCCCCTGAGCATGATCATGGCCCTCCTCTGGACTTGTTCCAACATTTCCATGTCCTTTCTATGTTGAGAACACCGGAACTGCACACAATACTCCAAGTAAG